CTTGAGAGATCTTCTATGCATGGGCTAGAGCTTTACGATTTGTATGTAATCGCATGGTTTTTAAGGGCGCCATGATCCAATAATAATTAGAGCTTAGCCAAGTGGACCAATAAAAAGCTTGATTCCTACCAACTTTTATATATAATGATTGTGCACTAAAAGGCCAGCAAATGAATGACCACCATCCTCTAGATCGTCACAACTTGGCTTATACATCTTCCATTTGTAGCCTAGTTCTCATGCATCCAACCATGCATAGCATATCAGGTCATTACACCAATTTTTTCGAAAAGGAGGGAAAAACCCGACCTCCGCATCAACTGATGGTCGTTGCACGTATATATGTACATATGACATACATATAAATTATGTCTATTATGTATACAAACCCCGCTTCTCGATTCTCAAGTCTTAATATTGTTGATGCTATGTTGGTACAGTGCAGAGTTGAGTCTTCCTACAATCTCCTCTGTGTTGACGGTAAAGCCCTCTTCCACCTGAACGGTAAAGTTGTAAATTTAAAGCCACAGCCTAACAAATGTAGCTGGTCATGTTTAGTTCCCATCTATGTAGATATGTATATAACATCCACAATTAGAAAATACTACAATGTTTTCTGTTGTTGCTCTGAAGAGATTGATGCTTACTATCTACCACATGCCTCTAGACCGAAGTTTAACTCTTTTTACAATTGTGTCCGCCAAACATTTCTATGTTTATTGTCTAAAAAGAGAGAATTAACATCTGAAACATTAAACCAACAATACTATATTTATAATGAAATATACCTTAAAAGTGCATAGTTTTGTAATGTTAGGCAACATGTTTGTGCATAAATTGGTGGTCAAATTATCATCTTGAAGAATGTGCCATGTCCTAATTGGATTTTGGATCGGAGAAAGTACTATTTGAATATTTGGAAACTTTAAATCCACTACAGTTAATTATAAATGAAACAATCTTTTTTTTTTTGGTTTCAAGGAGATTTTGAGTTGCTACTTAACAGTTATTTGTCTTACTATCTTATACTTTGCATGTGTGTATGTTATAGATTGGTAAACTTCTATATTTATGTATTTATTAAAAAAATTCTAGAGTGGTCATGGAGCATAGTGAAAATAAAGTTGTATCCACCCGTTGTAGAAAATGCATTTTACATTACCAATGTCGTTGTCAACATATTGCTATTTCTAAGTCATTGCTAAGAACCATCTGACCCACCCAAAGAA